GTTAAGTTATCTGTCAATTATCATGTCAATTTATCCGATGGTACTGCGTTTTTTAAATGAATCAAATATGACGTTTGCCAGTTCCACAATCAAGCCAATGATTTACAGAGGTTTCTGCACAGAAATCTGAAAGAGGTATTCCATTTAGGTAGATGTTCATAAATGCGTTTAACGCTTTCTGTTTAAGGCCAGTAAGTAATGTGTTTTTTTGTAAGTTCATCGCTGAAAAGCCCCTTTCAACCGCTGCAGTACTCCCAGACAGAGAAAACATCAATTCCACCATGCGCAGTATGCTGCTGTATTTCGAGATTAGAGGGTCATTTTAGAAGTGAGGGGCTAGACTCTTGTAAGATAACAAAAGTTGAAAATGTATCACGTGAACATTAACGGGAAAATGGCCGTCCGCGTGGACGTTGGATTCGAGAAATTTGTTGTCCGCCGGGAATTTTTGACCGCCGAGGACGGGCGGACTGGCGGTTTTTCGAGCCCTGAATTGAACACAGCCCTTACATTGGCTACAATCTACTTTAAAAATACCTAGGTATAAATTAATTTACTATAAGAAACTTGTAAAAGTATTTTGAGTAAATTCCTATTTATCAATTAATGTCTAATTAAGAATTCAGAGAAAGTATTAGAAAAACCCATTTGCGTAGCTTGTAAAGTAAAGTTATTTATTTTAATTAATATCTTGTTTGCTAAAAATAGTCGTACTTGAAATGATTTTTGGCGTACTAAGACATAGATTAGATACAATTTAAAGCAAAATAATTCATTCAAATTTTAGAAATTGTAACAAATTCCATATTTAAAACTTTAATATTGGTATAGATATACATTTACGATATGAAGCAAAATTATAATCTTGAATAAAGACTGAAATGCCCAATTTGAGATTTTCCAGACGTGGAATTCTTTTTACTTACATGAAAACGCTTATCTATTATTAAGCACATTAAAATCCCATTAGAGAAATTCGCCTGGAAAAAAGCATATAATTAGAAGATTAAAATAACATATTATTCTGGTTTGTTGTTTAGTGTTATTTAATTATTATTTTCAAATGCAATTATACAACGTTTACTGCCGTATATTAACGGATTTGGATACTATAAATAGTTCTATTTTTTATTTCTTCAAGTTATTTGAATAAGAAGTATGTGACTGTTTAAAATTTTCTCTTGAAATAGCAACTAGCTAAAGTTGACTTGTATTGTCTATTTAAAACATGTAGTTAATATTTGGCAATATTTTTTAATAGAATACTATACCTTAAATCAATATAATTTCTAATAAGCTAATAACTTTAAATAATTAATAAATATTAAATCATAATTTTTATTTTAAAAAAATATATTTCAGCTTAATATTTGTTATTTAATAAACACATACTTTTATTAGAACTTTTAACTGTAACCATATATTACTGATGAAAAAAAGCAAACATTTTCATTTTGATGTGGTTTTCCTCCAACTTTATGGATTATATTTGTTTTTACTACAAAGCTTTAGGATGGGTTTTCTACTTATACTTATGTTTACCTATTTCAGATATTTAAAATTCAATTTCTCAGGATGTTTTTAACCTTTAAGTTACGTATTTTGGCATGTAAAATATTCTTCAAAATGATGCAAAAAACTTTATACCTCACAATTTGAAATTTTTCCGACCATTATTAAGTAAAATAATAAAAAAATACACAATAACTAAAAGATATTTTTTGCAAAGAATTATCTTTGGATAAACGAATTTTTTAATTGCGTGCAAAAAGTTTTCAATTTACTGAAAAAGCTCTCGAGATATAGCGAAATACGCAAAAAGTAAAATAACTTTAAAGGGTACGAATTTTGCAGCTGTCTCCTAACCGAGCTATTTGGAGTAAATATCCCAAATTACGCCTACCCCTTATATTTTAGGGATCAGAAATCCAAATCGGTTAGAAGAAAGACATGTTTTTTCAGAGATAGTATGTTTTTGTGTTTGATTTCATATCTCAAAATATTGTCTGCACTTAATAATTAGCATATTTGAGGCCACCCTCTCAAGCTATTAAGATTGAATCATAGAATGTGAAGATCCGATCATTAGATCAGAAATTATTCAGGGTGGCCCGTTTTTTTTCCTCACTGTACATTTACTTCTATCTTGATCTATTTGCTTTTCATTCGCGTTCGCAAAATTTACCTATCACGAACTCTCTGCTTTGGATTCATGTTCTTCAAAAAATCTCCATTATCGTAACGGATTTGCTTTACAAGAAGTCGTATATTAAAAATTATGTAATTTTACGTGTAGAATTACAATCTTTAAGATGACGTAGAATAGCATATACTTTAAAATTTAAAATTTTTTCGACTGTTGTTAAATTAAATAATAAAAAATAATAAATATTTATCGAAAGTTATTTTTTGCATGGAATTATCTTTGGACAAACAAATTCCATAAAAGTGTGCAGAAATTTTTCAAATCACTAGGAAAGTTCTCGGATATGGTGAAATACGCAAAAATAAAATTAACTTAAAATAAAATTAACTTAAAATAAAATTAAATATGGGATCTAAGTTTTGGATATCCTCTCCTGACCAAGCTATGGGGACCACATTGCGGCTACCACTTGTATTTTTGGGGGTTAAAAACCATATCAGAAAAAAAAATGTTTATTCAGAGAAGTGCGATTTTGTGTCTCTTTTATTTGTAACTTAAAATATCGTCTGCACTAATTATGAAGCATATTTGAGGCCACCCCTTCGTTTCATTAAGATTGAGTCCGAGAACGTGAAGATCTGATCATTAGATCAAAAGTTGTTCATAGTGGTCCTTTTTCTCATTTTGCGTGCGTACATAAAAATACGTATACATTTTTATGATCGAAATCGAAACTGTCTCTGTTGTGAACCAATCATCTCTTTGGCATTGCGAAACGACCTGGAATTAGTTATTTTTGAATATTATAATTTAATACTAAAAATCTAATTTAAAACGAACAAGATAATCTGATTAATAAAAAAAATCTGAATCTTCTGGGAAAAAAAAAACTTTTTAATCTAGATAAATAGCTATGCTCATACGTTAAAAGTTAGGAACGGGTTCATCGAATACAGTGGTTAAAAAAAAGAAGTAGAAAGTATTCAGTATTTCACTCTTATGTGTATCTAAAATTTGTAAAATTTCATTTTTTAATACAAAAAATTTTTTGATTTGCGTGTTTAAACATATTTCCAATTTACGAAATTACAGATTAAGCGCTTTGCTTAAACCAATTTAGGTATATGGATTCTTGTTAATTTCTCCTGCTGTAACCTTCATGAATTTTAACAATTTTTCTTATTATAAAAGTCTTGAAATATTTGAATTTTTGAATAATTTATGCAATTTTTGAATCTACATTTTTTTAAATTAATGTTTAGTAAAATTAAAAATATAGTATAAAACGTCAACTTTTTTCTAAAGTAATAAAAAAATATATTGTATTGTCAAATTTCATAAAATATCGGGATATTAACTAATGATATAACTTTAAACTGGAGTATCATTTATTATTTGGAATTTCATAAATTAATTAAACTATAATATTATTTTCTTTAAATTAGTTTCAATTTTATCAAATTTTAAATTTTAAGAGACTTTTTATTAAACTAGTGATTTATAAGCTATTTTTTAACGTAAGCTAATGTTTAAATTATCATAAATGTTTAATTCGAATTATTATAATTGATTTATCTATGCTTCTGTTATTTTTCCAGTACATATAACTCAAGAGGCGTTCCAATTCCTTTATGCCATGGAGAATTTGAAGAACATAAAATATGTAAACTAAAGGTAAAATATTTCTTAAACTATAAAATTATGAAATCAATTACTTACATTAAAATACAATTATAATTGTATATAAGCTTAAATACATATATTTTGATGTTGGGTGATTTATAAAAATTATGAGAGAAGATTATTATGAATAACACTAAACAGTTTATTTTCCTCTATTCAATTTAAAATCATTTAAATATTTTTAACTTGAGAAATATTTTATTTTGCTTTTTTAATTAAACAAGTTAAACAAATATCGAAATAAAGTGTAAACTTTAAATTATTTGTCATTAAACAATCATTCCATTGCTTTGCTTCATTCCCTGATTAGTTTTCCTTTTTAATAACAAAAACATGGTTTAACAAATTTCTTGTAATCTCACCTCTCTTTTCATCAAATCAAAATAAATATCTGTGATATTTAAGGAATATCAATTATTATTTTTATTTTATAATGTTTTTGACACAAATATTATACTTCGTTTTACTGTAAAAGTAACTAAACTTACTATGAATATATATTATACTACTGTATACTATACTATACTATTTTATAAAGTAAATATAACGAAAATTTATAAATGGGCATTTGTTACAAATTATAAAGCTCACCTATGTAACAAATGATAGCTATATCATTCATAAAATTATTCCTAGGATGTTTCTCTGCTGAATGTTAAATGACCATAAATAAAAACCTTTTTTTTCTTAAAAAAATTACCATTTTATGTTTTATCAAATTCCTTTCTTTAACTATAAAAGAATAAATTCAATACTATATTTTGTTTCGCTGTGTTATAGTTTAAATTTAGTTTATTTCTAACCAATATCTTCTTACAAACTATAAATCCCACTCATTTTTATAAATGATTGCTATATCATTATTAAACTATCTCTAAGATGTAATCGCTTAATGTTTTAAGTGATCAAAGAAATAAATTATTCTTTCAAAAAATAGCATTACGGTTTTTTTTTAAACTTTTAAATTCTTTTCTTTAAATATACAAGATAAATTGTAAGTGATATATTTTATTTCGCTATGATTTATGAAATGCTAGAAAAAATAGTTTGTTGGTGATATGCCTTACAGCCGTAGTGGATATTTATTTATTGAAGTCTAGAAAAAAGAGAAAAAAATAGAATGAAAACGATATTTAGGGGGGGGGGAAACTTATTATCTTGCCTTTTGTAAAAATCATTTCTGAATATATTTGGTTATCTGATATTAAATATTTTTTGGTAAAAATTGAATAGCACTTCTACTTTAAAACTGTGATAAAACTCCAAAATCCATAAATCATTGCCAAGAGAAGCTTTTTCTTTTGTAACTGCCAACAAACCATCTAAATTGGCTTTGATGGCACTATAATGCTTTACATGATTTTTTTTTTCTAATATGAAATCCCCTCTCTAAAAATATCCCATAAGTATCTGAATTGGTTATGCCAAACGACACGTTCTAAATCACGTGCGCGAAGTTCTGGAGTATCTTGGCGAGATAGTGGGACCCTCAGATACAGCAAACCAGAACTCCTTTCTGAAGTGAATGATTAATCGGTTTAAAAATCGGGCCCTCAGTGCAGTATCATCAATCATTTGATTTAAGCATGACTATTGCATGCAGTATAGAAGCATAAGTAAAAAAATAAATCTGAAAACAAAACTTTTTGATGATTATAAAGAACCTCTCTTGTCATTATTAGACAAAATACGTTTACTTTAGAAAAATAATTATAAAATAAACAAAAAGAAGGCGTTTCCTATGCAACTCACTTAACACTAAAGGCATATTTCCGGTATAAATACATAGTTGAGGTTTAGAAATTCAAACTTAATCAAGTTTGTGAAATAGATTTTTTAAGTTGTATTTGAATAATTAAATATGTATTGCATATATTAGCACTAAAACTCAGAAATCAGTTATTCCGCAGATTAACTAGGGTGAATCGTTGAAAATACCAAAGAATATTTCATTTCTAAATTATCTGGATAATCTACTTGCATATTATCTAGAGATCTGCATATTATCAAATTACCTGCATATTATCTAGATAAAATCTGCTTATTATATAGATTATATCGATAGTCTATACTTTATCTAAATACTCTGCATATTATTTAGATAATTCTGCACATTACCTGTTAGATATTCGTTAAAGTGAAAATGCGATCATCGCTGAAACAGCAGGATTTCTGAATGTTTAAATTGACATAATATGTATTTTTCGATATCTAAAAAATAATTTTAATGCAATCCAATAAACGAATTAGTTGACGGAATCAATCATCAATAAGTTATATATTTATAATAAAAATAATTAAATGGTTTAAAATATTACAAAAAAGTAAGGAAATTTTCCATAATGCAATTCACTTTTCGATATCCAAAGAGTCAAGTATATACAATCAAACAATCAGCAAATTATTTGAAATTTTGCACTTTAACAAAACGGAAACCGTTAATGTGCACATTACTTACGTGAAGTGTGGGAAAACAATTAAATAATTTATAAATTAATTAGGTAATGCACACATAAACTACTCTTAACTTAGGTTATAAACTTAGGTTTACCGTCAACATTAATTATTTTTGTTAATAAATTGTTAAGGAAAAGTTTATTTGAATCTCAGTTAAGGAATTGAGAAATAATTCTAAAATTAAAGTTTCTAAAAAAAATACCTTCATTGATTTGTTTATCAATAAGACACATTTTAGATACAAATAACTTATGTTTTCTAAAGTTAGAAAACTGATGGCTTAGAAATGAAAGTTTTTCAGTCAGTTGAAAATAAATTACCATTAACAAGATTGATAAAAATCTAACATTTCAAGGATCTAGCATATCAAGGAATAGAAAGTATCATGTGTTTTTATGAAATTATAAGAAAATAGCATTAGTAAATGTAGTTTCATATTATCCATAAAATCGAAAATTTGCCTGTTTTTAAATGTTTCTAATTTAAATGTAAACTTTCTAAAAAAGCACAAATTAGAACTATACACATAATTTTAAACTAAAAATTTCTGAACAATGACAAAATTAAAAATAATTTTCAATTTATCACTATTATTAATACTAATATTTAATACTTTTTCATTTAATTTCAATAATTAATTATTTTTACTAATTTCAAATTATCTATGTACAATTGTTTTATTTATTTTTTTCAGATTTGTTCAGATGACATAGTAAGTAGTCAAGAAAAACAATGTTCTCAATACAATAACCGAATTACCGCTGGAATATTTGTAAAATCTTGGACTCCTGAAAACGGAAGTATGTCATTTCTATTGGAAATGAAAATTATTTATCTCATAGAATTTTCTCAAAGCATAAAAATTGTTTTCTAAAATTAAATATATGCAAAGAAAACCGGAAAAGAAATAAAATTATCTATGTGATTTTCATCAAAAATAGAATTACAAGCAACACTATTTTAGGTGTTACAGATGAACTTTCGACTAATTTTGTCAGGCATGATACGTTTGTGTCATTAATCCTTAGAGTATTCCACAATTACATCTCTTAATATACGCAAACGCTTACTTTATTATGACCACGTGACATTTTTATGTGAATGAGCTATTACATCACTAGGACACCTCTAGAGGACTAATGTTGTGTTTGCAAGCATTAAGATTTATATTTCATGTTCACGGCTGGAAAAATTAAACCTCAATCCTCATCGTCTACAAAATTTCATCCTGTAATGTTAATATTTTAACACAATAGCGAATGGTACTTTCAGTTGGATAATTTAACCTTCTATACAAAGAATTTGAAACATGGTATCGAGTAGAATTTGTATGAGAAACATGAGGAAATCTAATTTTGTTGCGTTAGCTCAGAAAGTCCCCAGATCCCATTCCTATTAACCCTTTTAGTAACGACTGAATTTTCAGGTTCCTCTAACTGAACAAAGTATCCCATCGGAACTTGTCTATCTCTTTAATATGACTTTCCGTTTATCATTAGTAGTTGGTAACACACGCGTATATGAAGTTAAACATCACCTATGAATCTATTTAGATTTTGATATTTTGCTTTCGAAAACGCCATTTTATGATTCCGTAATTCCATTCCACAATTCTCAGCTTTCTATCTCGATCAAATTTGTATTTAAGTCTTTCATGTTTTTTTTTATTGATTTATGAACCATTACATCTTTTAACTAATTATGAAAGGAAACATAAAATTTCTCTTTAATTAAAATTTTATAATGTAATATAAGTTCAAATTAAAATTTTTATGAAAAATTAGGAAGTAATGAATATTAAAATGCTATTAGTCAAAGTTTATAAAGGATATTTAATGACATAAATAAAATAAAAAATTTGATAAATAAAGGTTTCAAGCGTTTCTAGAAAGAATGAAAAAGAAGCATCTATCATTTAGATCCCCGAACAGCATTGGAATATATTACAAATGGTATATCTCACAAAAGATGCATTAACATCTCGTCGAGACAATGCCAACAAAAATCAAGATTGTGTTTGAAGAAAGTAGCCCAACAAGACATCGGGAAAAAAATCTAATGTATTCTCAAACTTTGGAAAATCATTTTAAACGCGTGATTAAAACGTCTGAAGACAATTAACTCGAGAAACACATCTAATTTTAATAAATTATTTTCATCTTTCATACCGATTTCGACAATACTCGCCCAGGTTCTTTTTAAGCTTTACTGATTTTTCTTACTCATGTATTGTAATGTATAGCTATTAATTTCCAGCATTGATATAATAACTCCCCTAAATATCATGAGGATTTAACATTCCTATAATATGTTACAACTTAACTTTCATCAGCCATAATTTAATTCTGAATTTGGATAGAAAAGTATCAGAAACAACTTTTTAAGACCCAATTCGAAATTATCTCTAATTCTGACATTCAAAACTTAATGCGACTTAAACATCTTTATAATTTGTTTGTTCAGCGAATTTTTGGTTTCGGAGGTTTTTTTTTTATTTTATGACCACCGTTGAACAGCCGACCCAATTTTTGGGTTTATGACCACTAATGTTCAACGCCGTAGCCTTGTAATTTTGAACCAATCCAGAAGACAAGGCAACCCCTGGTTCAGTACCCCCAGAGGTATTGATTTGTTATGGGAACATGGAGGACTTTGAGACTCGACAGATTTAACGTGCATCAGTCGCCATTTACTACACGGGGAGTCTTCGACCGGCGGGGACCGAACCCACGAACTCGGTTTTGGAGGTTGTGGTGATTTAATCATTGACCATACTCTTCTGTCAACCTTTCGTCATTTTTTTAATTTTTTTTATTTTATTTACAAAAGCTAAAACCTAGCCCCCCATTCTAGGTCTCGTAAATATTTAAGAAAGCGAGGATTTAAAAAGTTATATCCAAAGCTTTTCTTTTTTCTTTTTTTTTTAAAGTGCAAAAGTGTATTTTGGTGGATGGAGGTCACTTAAAAGTTTTAGATGAGTATCTAATTTACATAATATATTCAGAACTTATTACTTCAGTACTGAAAACTAATAGCTGTTCCTTGTAGTTTGCGAGTTCTAATGAGCATATTTTTACATTTAACTTCCATAAGAATTCTTCCATCAGCATGGCAGCCTAGTACAGGCCAGAGCCGCCCACCTGGTTCGATCAGACACTAGGTTTCTCCATTCATTGATTTCCATGGTTTTAAGATCTTTTTCCACAGAATCAATCAATCTGATGTTTGATCGGCTTTCCCTTTTTCGGTTGCCCGTAAGCCTTCCAAAAGTCACCATCATATCGCCGACAGATGTGACCCAACTATATTTTCCTGTAGGATTTAATAACTTAAATTATGTCTGTAAGGACTAGTATCGAACATCAAATTTAAATACCAGTTTGTACTTGGTTATATATTAAATTCAACTTTGCGATTCCCTAATTTATTTTTATAATTTTAAGTTTCATTAATAAAAATATTGTTATTCCTACTATTTATTTGATGATTACTTAAATTTTGGTAAGATATATGAAAGTATATGTAAGTAGTTGACAAAATAATGCGTGTTAGTTTAGATAAATATTTAAAAATGGGATCATGATTGTTATACTAGTTCTAACTGCAATCAAAAATAATTCTTTAAAACTACAAATCTCAGTGTCATTTGATAGTTAAACATTCAATTCATATGATGCTAATTCATACTGTGCATATTTTCATATTTATTTTATTTACTTTAATAAACTTATTACAACGTAAAGGAAAAATCATATTTTAATTTAAAATTAGAAATGTTATAAACACGTAACAAACATGTGATATAAACATAAACTAACAACATAATATATATAATGTCTAACAACATCCATTTAAGTAATAATAGCATTTATATATAAAGTAATAAATACACCAATATTCAAATTAGAAGTTTTGTACTTTATGGTTAATTTACCTAAACCTATATAAAATTTAAATGACTAAATATTATTAAAATATATTATTCTAATAATTACATTTCCTGAAAATCAAAGAACAATAAGTGCAAAATTACTTTAAATTTTAATTTAAATTTAAAAATTAAGAGATGAACTCAAATATTTCTAACAATACACTAATTAAGAGCATTGTTTTCTGTAGTAGATAAAATCTGCATTCTCATTGTCTGCAGAATAAAGTAATAGAAGTCTCTAAACCAAAATCACTATATTTACTGTTAAAGAAATTAAATTTTTACAACGTTCAATTTAACATAGATTTATGTTACTGACAGATAAAGATTGTCGAAAATAAAGCTGAATAATTCATGAGTCAAAGATTAAATTCGTGAGACAAACTAGTTATCGCTTATTTTGACTTGCATTTTCTACTTGTTTATTGATAGCTCAAAATATGCTACAACAAATAAATGGGAGGTAAATCTAAATTAGTAAGAAATGCAAGGCTATCTAATCTGAATCATATAAGGATATTTCGTTCATATAAATTCTGAAAATTTCATTTGATATTAAATAATTGATTTCGTACAATTTACCTTCAATAGCATTAATATTTGCATGTGAAAAGAATCAGTTGCTATGTTAATGATAATGAAGTACTTCCTAGCCGCGGAAAACTGAAACTAACTTTAGGAATAATTTAGCCTGAAGAATCTAATAAAAATAGGAAGCAATACCGTTGGGACCCTCCAAGTGATAGAAGCGCCATCTATAATTTAATTTCTTTTATGTATTGCCTTGAATACATGTTATTTCAACCAAGTTGACCTAATATTTTTATATTTTCTTTTTTAACTTCATCAGTCTAAGAACTAAAAAAAGTAGATGAAACTTTCTACAAATTAATTCTAAATAAGCTTCTCATCGTATGAAATATTTAATTTAGAAATAACACTAAAAGAGAATATTTAATACATACCCAACTACATGGTAAGGGCTGAAACAAATTTCTCTAGCAAAACAAATTACAAATAACCGTTGCAGTAAAAAATGCGTAAAGAGTAAGTCATCTTTTATTAAATAACATGAAATATTATTCAAATTGTTCTAGCTGAAAACAGATGCTATGAAAGTGTAAATACAAATAAATTTAAAAGAAAAATCTTTTCGCGTTTATTTTCCTAACTTTGTTGTTTAATTTTTAAAAAGATACTCCTGCTTTATACTCCATAAGTATTTATTAGAGTATAAATTTGTATAATTCAAGCGAAGTATTAGTTTTAAAAAAAGATGGCAAAAAATGAGAGGTCGTAATAAAAACCTTACAGATTTTTAAAATTATTTAAGAGAAGAACAATAAATTTGTTCAAAAATACTGTTTTAAAAAATCAAGAATTAGTATAATTTAGAATTAAGCTACATTTTCATTTAAAGCGCACCTTTCTGAAATTTAAATGTTACATTTTTTTTTTAATTTACTTTATCTGTGAAAAGGAACGTATATATTTACTAACTCTTATTAAGAAAAAATCGACAATTACCAAGGAAAATTTTAAACTGTAAAAAACTCTCATGATTTAAAGGTATTTTCTTTACCAAACCGTTTTTCTCCGTTTTCCATGATAGTCATAAACGGATTAAAACAGTATGTTCAAATTATAGTTTCTAACAAAATATTTTGTTACCGTACGATGACTCCTACATTTCTTAAAATCTTTCTACTGTTATTCTCCGTAATTGCTATTATTTTGCGGTAATTACTTAATGGTTTTGAACATCGAATATGTAAAACTGCGACTAAACTTTGGTAAAACCCGTACTTTACCTGACTTTTCTATATTTTTTGACTTTTTTATATTTTCTGATATTTTTTAGACATAAATTTTTGATAAGTTAAGTTTGCTAAGCATTCTTATACGGGTTGGGTACATTATTTTTAAACGTTTTTACATTTCAATATTATTTCAATAAATAAGACTTTTATTTCTTCATACTGAGACACTAGCGATGCGATAGCTCAGGAGAAAGCTCTCGCCTCCCAATGAGGAGACCCAGGTTCGAATCCCAGCGTCGACTGGTCGTAGTTTCGGTTAGCGCCAATTACTTCGGCCAGCGTCTTAATACTTTCTCAGAAAAAAATCTATTCCACTTATAATAATATTCAAATAAAGAAGAACTAGTTCAAAGGAAAAAGGAAACAAGATGGAACCCGTTAGTCAACCTCTAGCCCGTTAGTCAATCTGCTAGTTCTTATTAATACTTGTTTGCATTTTCTTCAACATATTTGAGTTTCTCTTTTACTCTTTGTACTTTGATAAAGGTCTTTCTTTTGGCACCGAACTGATACTGAATCAGATTATGTGAAGTTAGTGCTTTTTAAGTTTAAATTAACATTAATATCTTGTAAATATTTTAAAACTTAGCAAGACATTAAGTTAGCTACATTGTCATTGAAGTTAATACATTAATCAAGTGTAATAAATATTATTTTGCGTGATGAAGGGTCCAATTCGGAATTATAATAAAGTTGAAACAAATTTAGACGATACTATGGTCTAATCACCGCCGAATAAAATACGATGAAATTTAATATCACAACGAGTGTATATTAGGATAGAGTAAAAGTTCGATATAACGAGAAGTCGAATTCTATGATAAATCTGTGCCAAACTTCCAATGTTAAAGATTGCTAGTTTTCCGGAATTGGGAGAAGGATTTTAAAAAAAATTAAATTTTCTGAATTTTAAGTAAGCAATATTACACGACAAAGAAGAAAAGTCATTTTTATTTATTTTTCGTATCAATACAGAAAAAATAATTAAAAATCCTTTTACCTCATTTCTTTCTTATAATCTTATGACTTTATGTTTATAAAGCAAACGTGCGTAAGTGGCCACCATCCAAGTTATTTTACTCCTCCTGCTGTTTTTCCTCCAAAATTCATTACCTTCAATAGCACTAAGGATATTACCGCACTCCTCAAAAACATTTACCTTTTGTTGATTAATGACCACATCTATACCATGCAAACTTACTTCCCTTATTAATAGCTTACTCTTCAAATCAACATTCAACGTCATCATTGACGTCAAAAACTATTGCACATTATTATACTACAATCATTTTTCTATTGTATTTCACTTATTACTGCAAGCTCGCTGCAGGGACAAACCTATCTGCTATTGTGAAATGTCATTATAACGAATTTTTATTACGTAGTTTAATTTCGAACGTAAACTCAAATGCTTTTTTTAATAAATTAAAATTTTTAAGATGTCATTAAAAAACAATTCAAAGTCTTCCTAGAGAGTTTTATCGTCGAATAGACGCAAAGTTTATAAAGCAACACTAATCATTGATAGCCAATAGCAAAATTTCCATTAGACTTCAGTAATTACCTAAGATCGATTGTAAAATCCCCTTCAAAAGCATTAAAAGTCATTAATTATCATCAATGGACAATGTGTAAATCTGTTTCTGATAAATGGATTTACTCGGTCAGAAAAACAATTAGTTAATGCAAATTTTGCGAATTGGAGTATATGGCCATAATTTAAAGCAATTTTAGAAATTATTGTACCAATTTTTTTTTTCAATTTTCTCACATTGAACGATTTAATCGAACTCCTTCATTTTTTTCTGTTGTAGTTTTTTAATTTTATTTATTATAGCATTAAAAAAAATATTTAAATAAATTTCGATGCATCGATATTTGTTGGATGTAACAAAACTTGCCCTAGAGAAAGTGAGCTGTAAAAAATTGCTAATTATGTCTTGAGTGTTAACCGATCATCTTATTATATTTTATTATGGATGGACTTATGTAGACAAACAAGACAAATTTTTGAAAATGCATACTTGAAACAAGCAATAAAAAATTTAATGTTAAAAAAATATAAATTATATATTGTTTTTTTAAATAAATAAAGCAGATTTTCTATTAGAAACACTTATATATTTTACTAAATATTTTATCATAAAGCTCAAACTTTATTGTTGTGTTTGAAATTTATTCATGAAAATATTTTTAATCTCTGAACATTCAATATCTGATCTATCAATCTCTGCTTTATCAATCAATCATAATACAGGTCTATTGACACAGGTTTTTCATAAATACAGGTCTATTACATGCTTATTCAAGATACTGTTATTAGAAAAATAAGCATTTAAAAAAAATTTCTCTTCCCTTTTATTAACATTCTACTTTATTAAATGAATACTACATTATTAATTTAATATAATTATAAATACTAATTTTTAAAATCATTACTGTGAGGTAAAAACAAGCCATAACTCTCGGAACCTCTTTTACCCTGTGACGGAACCCTAGGGTTCCGCGGAACACTATTTGGGAACAGCTGGAGCTGAGTACAAATCTAGAGTTATCTAGATATAGAGAATCTTAGAACATGTTATAAATTTGCGAAATCAACAATTATACCCAACAATGACTTAATTTTGTTAATTCCGTTTTAGATTTTATTTTTGATTGGAAATCTCAAATCAACCTCAAAGGACTATAAAAAAAATTCTGATTGACTTTCAAAAAAGAAGCAGCATGCGCATATTAAAGATTTTATCTTATTTATATATTTATTGTTAGTATATGAATAAAAATTTGTTGAAATTCAAAAAACCGATAAATTTTTTTATTCTTAGACAATTTTAGGATTTTTGTCTTATTTTCAAGGTAATTGTAATATTAATAAATGTGAGTAACGCGAAGATATTTTTATTTGTTAGTAAAATCGTGAATAATATTTCCGTTTGATCTTATCACTGCTTCGAATAGGTTGGAACCCTTGTGAGCTAAGGTGCGAGGCCAAAGTCGAACACTTGGTGCACAGCTTTGGGAAGATGTCCAACGGCACCCCGTGCCCTCAAGGTGCGTGTCTGGACGGCAGGTGTTTGGTAGGTAGGCCGCAACATTTTTTTCTTATTATTTTATTTTCTGTTAAGTATTTTTCAATTACCTTCACTCGTGGGTGTGATTGTAAAACTATAATTCGAAATTGCACAATGATGAGCAAGGTTTTAAAATGCTATGTTCCTTAATTAGTTTTACAAGTTTCAAAAAAATTATTTTCGAAAGTAATTTTATTTCTGCGCAACTAAAATAAAGCATTATGGATGTGCATTTTTTTAATGAGCATCAGTTTTTAAAAATGTGATAATCTGTTGAAGCACACCTATATCTTTCTAAAAAGAATCCTCCTTCTAAGCCTCATTAAAAAAATAGGAAATATATTTATACAGTTTTTGGTTTGTTTGCTAAAGTGTTAAATAAAAGTAGCATAATTTTGACTATTTTTACTAATTTAATATTTTAAAAAAAGCACATCAAATTTTTTTCCATATTTCGTAGTATTGAAACTTTTAACAGAAAATACATCAAGTCACTGTAGTGAAATATACTTGTACTGAACAGAAACATGTACATGTACTAAAATTACATCAACATGTCTCTGCAAAAAACAAAATTAATAATAACTAAAATGAAACTTAATTTTAATGGTTCATAAAACAATCGCCTTTACGAAATTAATAAAAAAATCCATATTTATATCTTTTATTTTTAAAAACAAGTTTTTGTTTTATAGTAAATCATAACTTTTACTACTTCCAAAACAATTTATTGTGTAAGTTTCACAAGGACTTAATACGTTTGGTTTACGTTTTAAATTTAGAAATAGTCAGGAAATTTTGTTTTGAATTCTTCATTCTTTTTAAAAAATATTTTTTTAAATTATGAGAGTTTCTGTTACCAACAAAAATAAGCAATAGAAACCTATGAGAAACCTATGAATTACTTTTACTTCTTTTTTACCTCTTCCTAAAAATTCAAATTATGTATAAATTACCATAAAATTGCTAAAAACACTGTAATGTCATTGAATAATTTTTTGACTATTTTATCTCCTGTTAATAATCTAAACTTATACTGATAATATTGATAACTGATAATGATTTTAAATTATCATCATACACACTTATTTAAATGATAAACATTCAAATACTAATACGTTAAAGTGCAAATCTCTTTAATATAACATAACCACAGTCACATATTACAGCATGACAAACTTTAGTTGCAATAAATCAGTATGAAATGTTTCAATTATGTATCCGAACTCCAGTCCAGTTCATATGTCAGTTTTAGATATCAATGTGATTTCTCGCCAAATTTAATGATTGTTGTTGCCAAACTATGAATTTATGCTTCCAAATCGGTTGACTCTACAACTACATTTAATAAAGTTTGCTAATAACTATCCCTTACTTAACTGATGTCCTGCCTTTCATCCCTAAATTATGCACTTCAAACAATTAACTTGGAAGTGATTATTGTAATGCATATTTATGTTTAGGCGTTATTAGAATTATGCTATTATTTATCGATACATGGCAATCGCGGAGGAAATAATGTAAGAAGAAATCAAATATGTTGCAGAAATATGATAATCTGAGCCAGCTGTATTCCTATGTACTAGTTTATTATGAAATTTTTATGTAGTTAATTGCCCGAAACATGTGAACAGAATCGCAATGTACCTAGTTTGAACTTAAGGAAATAAACGAAAGTATTTGAAATTTTCTTTGATTTTATTGATTAAAACTCACAGATTTTAAGAGTAATGTCTATAAATGAGACCAAAATATCAATTATAAAAATATTTAAGATAATTATGTTTCGATTTGTTCTTTTGGCTATTATTTTTCGCTATGCGATAGTATGATATTTTAGTTTTCATGCTTTGATGTCGTATAGCTGATAAAATGAAAATTTTAATTAAATGATTATTTTTCCATTTCAAAATTTATACTTTAACTTCTTAAGGTTTTTAAAAGCGTATAGTTGATTTTTAATGAATTATCATATAGATTGAAACTCTGTGTAGAAATTAAGTTTAGCTTAGTAATTACGGTTAAAATTGAAGCCAATAAAATTTTAATATTGCACCTCCTAAGAAACTTGCCTATGTTGTACCTTATAAAAACTGATGTATGAATAATTTTCAGTATTAACGTATTTGACAATAATTGCATGAAAAGTAAACCCCTTTTACAGGGTTCACCAAACTGCAAAATCTTTGCGCATGGAACAGTGCAGCTATAAACTTCACAGTTGAAGAACTGAGCATTAACTTGAAAATTTATAATCTGTAGTTATTTATTGCTTGAACTATTTTTTGTCTTGTAAATATTCTTTTTTGTCAAATTATTTTACTTACTGGATGAAGATAGTTTGTATTTTATATTTAGAAAATAGGCTGTGATGAGCGATTAGGCTCAGAAGTTATGCTGGACATGTGTGGAGTTTGTGGCGGTCGAAATTCAACTTGCGTCCACTACAAGGATGTTTTTCAAGGTCAACCTTCTTCAGCTACTGGTAAAAAGACCAATACTTTATATTGTTTTATAGGAAAATTTATTTCAATGAATTAAAAATAATTTAGTTTTGAAAAAAGGAAAAAATATCCCTGAAATATAGAATATTCTTGAAGTTATTTTCAGCTCTCCATGATAGCATAAGCTTGATATATGTCTCTTTAAATATATGAAATCTTGCATTCCATAGAATGCCTAGTTCTTGTGTAGAACGCCAAACACTGATCGGCAAAAGATTAAATGATTATTGTGATATTAATAAGATATGAGATTAAATAGCTATACTATATGAGATTAAATAGCTATAAAATGGCTAACAAAAGACCTTTATGGTAAAAAATTTTGATATACAGTTGCCACCATTTTTTGTGATGAGGTAAACTGACTCTTTTATGAGCAGAATTGTAGTTATTATACAAAAAAAGAGTATAAAACTGACAAAATAGCAGTTTTTTTGAAATAATTAATATAAATATATTACAAAAACTGTGCCTGTAGTTTTTACGAAACGTTTTTGAAATAAAACCATAAATTGATTCGAATGCGTAAAAAATTTGTCGTCAGTAAACAGACAAATAAAATTATGAATAAATAAATCTATGAATAATAAATAAAATGTAACTACAAGCTCTGCAAAAAAAAATTAGTTTACCTAAGCATTAAAAATGGTGCACAGGTATTCTAACGATGACTAGACAAAGTATATAATAATTCTCATGTTTCATACTGTGCATAAAACGCCAGGTATTATATGGAAGGACAATAACATACACATGATTGACTGTTTTAGTTATTTTGAGTGTATGTACTCAAGAAATTTAATTTACATAAAGCATTGCTTTCCTCCTACGAATTACATGCCATTAGTAGAAATGGGGTTCAATATCTCAAAGTTCATTGTCATTCCTTTTATTTTCCACTATTACACAAATTTAAATTTACTTTAAATTGCTGCAAAATAATTTGAATAGCTGAATACATATTTATGAAGTCACGATTTGTTTATATAATTATTCGTTGCTTTTAAGGAAGTCGAAGTGTATATCACGAAGTGGTTTCGATTCCGAAAGATGCGAGGAATCTCATCATTCACCAGAATTTGGGAAAAAATCTTTTAGGTAAGTCATATAGTAGTATTTGGAGGAAAAAATCTTTTAAGTTTTTTTAATTTTGTAAAACATACTACAATTTAATTAGAAATTTTTTTTTATCAATTGTGACTGGATGTTATTTGCTTTACCATGTCATTTACATAATAGTCTTGCAATTACGAGATAAGCCCCGTAGATAACTGAGAGCAATCTCATCTTGTTATTACTAGACAATAAAAGGGCTAAACAAAAAACCACTAAAAATCATAGAATTCAGTACTTTTTTAGAAAAAATTCAGAGGTCTCAAAACAATTGTGCAATAAAATAATTAGATGCTCAGAGCCTGACTAAGGCAGGGCACACGGGGCAGTTACCCATGGCCCCCACATCAGAGGGGGCCCCCAAATCGAATGGAAAGTTTACTTTAAGTTTCCTTCTTTAATGAACTTTTTTTAAACGAAATATCAGTCCAGTTTAAAGTCGTAGTCAGTTTTATGTTGGCTTCTTCATTATCTTCATAACTTATATACTTTATATAATAATAATTATACGTTGGCATCGTATGAACACAATCTATATTTCATAAATCCTAGGACGGAATTTAGCTAAATTTTCGAAATTTGTTCAATCAAAAGCCTGTCTGATTAGCTTAATTGAAACATTGTAATTGCAAAAATTATGCTGAAATCCGCCCTAATGTCAGCAAGGATATTAATTTTTTAGTAGATAGTTAACAAAGTTGACAATCAGAAAACAGCATTCGGCATGATGGACACAGAATGGTCAGAAAATGAATAAAATAGACAGAACGATATTTCGTCTGACCATTGGAGGGAGAGGGACATTTATAGCTATTTTAGGTTCTATTCAATTTTCTTGTTATATATCTATAATGAGGTGAAAAATTTAAATACCTCCATAAAGTTCAGTTCTTCATAACTGAAATAGTGAAGCTGAGGGGGGCCCCCAAAGAAGTTTTTGCCCCGGGCCCCTATTTAGCAAAGTCGGGCCCTGTAGATGCTTACAACAGACAAAAAGTAAAATTGAATAAATACTATTATTTTTAGAGCCAAAATTTACACTGCCTAATTACAATGCGCAAGAATTTTCGCCTTTAATATTTTTTTGCATCATCGCTTAAAAAACCCAATGCAACGCAATGTGTGCTTAAAATACTCCTTTTGTGAGAGTTTCTTATGTGACTATGGTAATTCTTGTTGCTCTGCAAAAACAGTTATGCCATGTTAAAATTTCACCGAATTTTATGATTTTTACTTCTGCAATGTTTCCTTGTTTAAAAAATTTTTTTAGCAAGACAGGAAGTAATTAGCAGCATTTAAAAAAAATAAAAAAATAAACAAAAAATGACTCAAATATTTTTATTGCTAACTGTAATTTGGTTAAGTGTGTAAAGTATGAAACACGGATAGCTTCAAAATGATTAGCATAACAGAACAAACTTAAATACTAGCTTTTAAATTGATTAGTAAGTCTTATTTCTGTGATCTATAATTACATTTTGCTATTAATTTTATTGCATCAAATAGCGAGTAATAACTTACTTCGACTTGTATTGGACTGCCCTTTGAAAAATTTTCAAAATTAATTATTACTTTTTACGAAGGGGTCAAAAGTTTCCTACCTTAGATATGACATCATGATTATAGTTAAAGTGACTAAGTCACATATAGTAAAATTGACTGCAATAAAAAAATTACAAACACCGTTACTTTTTAGAGCAATACAGATTACTCCAACTATTAATTTATTCAATTGTTCAGAAAAAGATGCATTCATGCTTCATACTTTTTTTTTTAAATGTCACGCAAATCGTGGTTTTGGGCGTTAAAGGAATTGTAAAATAAGTTCTCGGCTTCGCCTGTCTATCATTCTATTGAATTTTAAGCACTAGCACTCCACCTATTAAATTTTATACGCTCAGTTATACTTATCAGAGTTTGCTTTCTTATTCCTTTCTCACTAGTCGTAAGATATCAGCAATATATTTCATCCATAAAATTTTATCAAGCCTTTTAGGCTTACTATGCGAGTCGATTGTTTGTAGTGAGCTCATAAAAAGGGCGTTGCTCTTGTAAAAGTCATGTATATGATAACTTTTGTGTCTTTAATCTTAATTGCATTTCCGAAGTTATCTGTCTTGTTAGCCATGTTTATGATGGCAGTGCTTGAGTTTCTTTCAAAAGGGGTATGATAAATTTAATACATGCATGCATTTAATACTATGACATATTCTGCCAAACAGGATTAGCGTGAATTTAAAGTATAAAAAAAGAAATGAACGCAACCTATACACATTTTAAATAAAACAAATCAGATATCATAATCGGCTCACTTTTATAAAATATTTAAAAATTGACATCACAGCCCCAGAATGCTTTGCACAACTAGAACATTTTTTTTTTGTCTTCTCATTTTTGTTTTGTTTTAGTACTCTGAAAAATTTAATAGCGTCAAATTTTATCACTCAGTATTTAAGAGAGTGTAGTAAAAATATTTATTTGCCTTGCTTCTTTTAAAAATTAAAAAATTTTACCGGAAGTCCTCTTACAATGCAGTGGCTCAGATTAGTGTATCGCAATGCATTCGTATCATCCAGAGAAAGTTATAAAAACGTCTTATTGTAATGCCATCTGTTGTCAATAGAGGGAACCACCGTCAGGAATAAGGTGAGTAGGAGGGAACTAAATGTTATCTGCAAATATTATAAATTTTTTTAAAAAAACTATTATGATAAAGGATTTATATTTTGAAAATAAAAGATTTAAAATTAACCTAATAACCATAAAAGGAGCAGAGGTTTCTCAGGGGATAGAATGAGGTGTTATTAAGTTCGATTCTCAGAGGTGGCTGGTTTATACCAATCTACTCCCAGCTCATACCAAACCACAATGCCCACGTAAAATACTCAATGGTAGACGGATCATGGGATAGAATCCAGTTGCCATCGGGATAACCTTGGTAAGATTTCGTAGTTACCCTCTCCATTTAATGCAATTGCGGGATTGTTCCATCAAAAAGCTCTCCACCAAGGCCTGTTTGTCCTAATTCTTGATCCAGGAGTTACCTTGTCTTCTGGGTTGGTTTGTAAATTATAAGGCTAGAGAGTTTAACATTGATGGTCATAAATTCAGAATTTTGTTGACAGTTCAACACCGGTTATAAGATAAAATAATCATATAGCGTATCGCGCAGCAACTACAGAGTTTATATTAGTCTTTTTTTCTTTTTTTCAATATCCTAACTTTCCGATTTATTTATTGATTGATTTTCCATTTATAAAATTATAATAGTCAAATGATTTAATTAAGAGAGTATTTTCATGTTTAATATGATCAAAAACTTGACATAAGTATATTTAAGGCATTCTTACAGTAACATGCCGTAAGTAGATTACAAAATTGAATTATCATCCATAATTATCAAATAAAAGAGAGCGGGGTTATATAATTTCGTTCAAAGAGAAATTTAAAGCAGAATTTTATTTATTTGCAGAATTTACAATTCGTATTTTACATTAAGCCCCAGGGAAGAATATGTATTCAAGTTTATTAAAGTTAAAATAACCATAGTTGTCCAATATGTGTAAATATATGTCATGAATTATTAATGTATTTCTTGATGAATTTTGAATTTCAATAAATTGATTTAAAATATGAAAAACTTTCCTTTTTTAAATCACTGGGGAAATTCCAGTTTAACTTTCAGTTAATTAAAAAAAATGGAAATATTTAGTTAAGTAACCTTTTTTGTATACGTCACTCTAATTTATTGTGGTGGCGACTGAATTTCTAATTATCTGAAAAAGTAATAATAATTTTTATTATATTTGATACGATTTCCATTAAATATGCTATCTAAGAAACCTTACTCTTGTTTTCATGCGTCATAATTAATTTCCTCAACTATTACAATTGCTTTCAGCCATTTAAAATTTAAATTAACGTATTTAAAATTTAAATTAACGTAGATGATTAACGAACTGATGTGATATAGATAAAGAAACTGATACATTAAGGATTTTAGGAAATTAAAACACGCCATTTTTAATTTAAAAAAAAGGTTTTACTTTGAGGGAAAAAACCTTAGAAATTTCTGTAAATAAAAAGTCAGTAAATGAAATTCACGATTCAGTTTAAGCTCAGTGCTGTTAAAATAGGTTATCATAATTATTAGACAGTTTAATTAAATGATTTGCTTAAATTTGAGATTAAAAATGAAAAAATTGACCCCGTAATGGAGTTGATTTTGAATTTTAATGATGTTTCAACTTGAATATGTTTTGTATAATTTTTATTATTTACTGACTATTTATTTGTACTTTCCTTTTACAGTCTAAGTATTGCAAAATAAAATATATTTTATTTTCGTCATTGCATGCTATAAAAGAATTTGATAAAATTTTTGAAGCAAACAAAATTTTTTATTTCTTCTTCGCACTCTTATATTTCTTCGGAATTTTAATACGAGCTATCCAAAGGAAAAGAATCACACATTACAGAAAATTTAGCTCCTTAATAATACAATAAAGATCAAACAAAACATTTTCGATCGACTTGTCAAATCTATTTTCGTTTTATAACACGCATACTTGGTAGAAGCTCAAGATAATATTCCAAGAAAAAAAGTTGGAAATGCAACACATTCTTTGAATATTATAGGCATTTTTTTTTCTTCAGTTTTCCTTAGATTATCATGAAACTTTCATTTTCTTTTTATATAAAAATTCTTTGCCTGCGCTACATTATTGATTCTGTTTTTTTTTCATCTCCAATAAGCTGTTCTTTGTAATACAAAATGAGTCATAAAATATGTATAAGTATTGCAATACAATTTTACAAATGTATGAATTTTTAAAATTTTTGCAACATTATTTAAATGTTCTTTTATGAATTTATAAAGTAGTTATTCGAATCAAGTATTAATTATATCACTATGTAAAAATTTATATATTAGTCTAAGGAAATATAAGATGAAGCAATTAAAGAGCAGTAATATTGTTATTATT